GTATCAGAAGATGTATTTTTCAAGAATAAACAATTGGATGAACGCACAACTTCCACTTCCTGGCGGAATTTAAACTATTAGTTTCCCTCTTACTTTTTCTCGTGCTGCTTGCCGCACGCGAAGAGCAAAGTAGAGGTTGCTGATAAAGGTACCAATGGGAAACCAGCAAAAAGACGACTATCTCTCTCAAATACCAGCCATTTTATCACCGGTCATCCGAAATGACTCCAGCGCCGTAAATATTGCTCCAATTAATATGATTTTTTTTTTTACAAAAATGTCTTGCGACATGTGTGTTAATTATACCCAAGCTGTATGAAAAAAATAATTACTTTATGTGTTACAGCGGCCCTGTAAAAATCAGAATGAAATGATAACTCAAAACGAACCTGTCCGCAACGGTAGCAGCACCACTTGCTATTCCAGGCTGTAAATAAATGATCTTGTCGCATCATGGTGTCTTCTTGTTTGCATGACGATCTGTAAAAACTTGACTTGAAACAGGTAATTTCAATAATCGTTCATATAATTCGTTTAAATCACTTTTTATCGCGATTATCTCGCCCGACACCAGTCTTGCGTGTGGCGTTTCGCGCGTTTTTGCGTTCAGTGCGCCACCTGGGAGCGGCGTCGCGAACCAGATAGCAGACGGCGAACGGGCGGGTATAGGCCATAGGAATTGCACGTCTGCCATTTTTGTTATCTATCTAATAATTCGCTGCTTCCGAGTTGACGTCTGAAAAAAATAGGCAAAAACCTTTGGTATAAACGACGTTCGTGTGCTCAATTTCAGGTATGTATGTTTGAAATTCGATTTTTGCTAGGCGTGCCAAATGTGAAAGTTTTTACGGCCGCACCCTGTATGCACTCATGACTTGCTAACCCTTTGAAAGACACTCAAGTGCTCTTAAGTGGCTCCATATGTTACTCGTATACACCTTTTCCAAAAAAACACTCGACCCCAGGGGCAACAAACCGTTTTCGAGCCCAGTCACTGAGTTTGAGGCCAGACTTTCACCGGCGTCCCTCCTAACCCTAACCGAGTGGACTGTGATTTCAATTGCCGCAGCCTGCGTAGGCGTAGTATCAAACGCTGCTGGTGGATAAATTCTCGTCTTTTCCCGCTATATTTTGTGTATCACGGTACATGTGTTTTCCCGAAAACATCGAAAAAGCATTGTACCACATTAAAAAAAACACAAAAGCAAAACAAAACAAAAAACTGTAAACTATTTTTGTTGGGTGCGCGACAGAACGAATGCGGCAGGAATGTATAGTTCTAGTCATTTTTTTTTTCTTACGATAAGTTTTGACGGCGCCGCAGGATTCGCCACATGTGAAACGACAAAGCGCTTTGCTGTCAAAAATAAATTGCAACAGAAGAGGGCCGAAAGGCATGCATTTTTCACGCTCACAAATAACGTGTTTACCGATGGACAGGACACGGACATACAAGTGAGGAAGTGTTAACATTCGAACAATATATCGTACGTACCACACGATGCAGCGTTATCCAAAAAGAATTTATTTGAGAAAGATCTCAAATAACATAGTCACAATCGACGACAGTCACATCTTGACGATCGGATGGAATCCGAGGTGACGTCGTTTTGGAGCACGTTTTAGGGAGAACTTCCTTTTTTCACAACCGCACCAAGGCAAAGAAACAAACGCGACTGACCCGTTTCTCACCCCAAGTCCCCAACCCCGACAACTATTTTTGGAGATGACTGAGGATTCTACGCGGATTATCTCTGGGAGGGGGGAGAACAATGTTCGGAAAATCGCGTCGAGGGTCGTTCGACGTCCTTCACCTCCCTCATTTCCCGTGAATGTCGAGCAGAAAAGCTTGAATGGCAGGCACTTACCAGACTTATTTCTCACAGTGGAAGATAACACAAAAAGGGTATGCAGCACGTATAAAAAAAAATGAAGTGGAAACTTTCAAAAGGGGCCAGAAAACGTCGAATGCAAAACCGCAAAAAAGTAGGTAGAGAACCGCGCTGAGCGGGTTTTCACAGTCCCAGAGAGTGGCAGAAAATTTCTAGCTGATAGAGGGCGCGAGAGTCGCACCAGCCGCATCAGCATCAGCAGCATGGCGGCGGCCTTGCAGCGTTTTTCGGATAGGTGTATATAGACCATTCCATTGAGGGCTCTCTGGGCGGCACCATTTTGTTCGACCGCAGCGCCCTCTCCACACATCCGGGAAGTTCAGCGGGTTCGGCGGGGTAAAACGAGAGATAGGGCACGTGCCCGACTCCGCTAGCAGACGACAAACCGGGAGGTTGCCGTTCTCCATCTTTGGGCTGTATCGGCGGGAAGTACGGAACATCGAACTTTCGCTCGTGGCTGCCGTTGTGAAGTGGTTCGTGTTCTTAGAATAGTTGTTTCTATTCCAAAATCAGCCTATAGCTCTTTGTTGCTCTATTTCGGTAAATGATCAAATAGCATATCCTTTTTCCGTTACTTAAATAGCAGTTGAGTCACCCGGCAGTACTACCCTCAACTATTGCGTGTATTGCGGCAGGAGAGCACGTTTTATTTATTATTTCAGACTTCCACTTATAATCGCTAAAGGCCTACACCAGTACGAACTTTATATAGTAGAAAAGTACAGCAACCGGATTTACTTTTCGCCAAAGAGACCGGCCAATCTGACACAGTTTTCCCTATTTTTTATTTTATTTGCACGCAGGTAACAGCGCAATTGGACCCTGTGAGTCTTTTTATGTAGCATAGTATTACACGACAACTGACATACCAAAAATCTGCGCATCTGCGCTTGAAAGTTCCAAAATGACGCGATTTTAAACAGAGTTTGCACGCCAGCCGGACGCTAGCTACAGCCCACTCGGCGGAGCAGACGATGTCCGGGGTGAGAGGGGGAGTGCATTTTTTTCTCTTTTACCCTCTCTGCTATGACCCCAATGGAACGGTCTATACAGGCTATGTAATTTCAAATCGAACAAATTTTTTTTAATGAAACGAGAGATCGACGAGTTCTGTTTTTACGATGTATTCATTTAGCTCGGTGCACTTTAGGCGATTACATCATTGTCACGGTAAGCTGAATAATTAGCTAAATTTTTAATTAACTTTTAATTGCTGGTTGTATGGGTTATGTGGGAATTGCAGTATTGACAGCAATTACTATTAGATTCCAGATAAATTTAAATAAATTGCGAAAAGGTTTTTTGGGTATTATTTTATCAATTTTCTCATTTTTCGCCCCATTTAAAATTTACGCTCAAAAAGAACGTCGCAAGCCCTGCCCTCAATGACGCTCGGCAAAGTGACGTCGTCGTTTGAATCATGTCGTCACACTCTTTGGAGGGTGTTCCTGGTGGGTGCGCCGATGACGGAAGTAACGGCGTGACCTAAATAAATACGACTACATGGTAAAAATGGCGCACGCCTAATTTTCACCCTCTTTAAAAAATTGTCCAATTTAGTATCAAACACCCTGTACGCATCGACTAATTGTTAATTAATAATTCATTTTTTTTCCAGAGGCTACAAATTACCCCGGAGTGACTGTTCTTAATTGAAAACTCGAGAATTTCAAGACCACCACAAGGCCCAACAGGATGTATTCAGAGATATCTGTGAGTTCTTTCATTTCAATTATCAGAAGCACCATCAAATATTAAAGATCAATTTTAAAGTGTAAAATATAGAAGCACGAGGAAGGTGTTTTCGGAAGAATTCTGAATGAATTACGGAAGCAATTAAAGACCCTCATGATTTTGCTGTTCAAATGTATTTGCAAAGCTTCACACAACCGGACAAGGAGCCCCTAGCACATTTCTTTGGATGTTTCACTAATGCCCCGTTATATGCGAATGCATTTTTTTTTTAGATATAGATCATCCGTTCTACATGAACCTTGCAATGATGTACCGTCTCGGGCGATTCGTGTGTGAACAGCCCGCCACACCACTTTGGCGTAACAACCATTTTTCGAGAGATCGAGGCATAAGAAGAACCATAATGTGTTTGTCAAGTTCTAAATTAATGTAGAAAGCATAAGACCTTTGTAATAAATAACCATACGGCTGATTTTTGTTTGTATAAAGTTTTCAACAAAAGGGCTGCCATCAAAACTACTTGTTTGTCAATTCTACCCACTCTAGCCGCCAACATAGGCCACGAAGTTTCGTATTTGCCAATTATCTAAGAGCGAAAAATCAGGAAAAGTGCTCTGATCTTGTGTTCACGATGAAGGCGTCCCACAGTGCATTTCCTCACATCAAAAGACGAACTGCTTTTAGAAAAGCAACCTCAGTCAACTTGGAGAATATTCTCAGGAGTGCTGCGGCTGTACATGGATAACTGTTTCTTTTTTTTCTCGGTAATAAAATCCTAGCCTGAAAGAGGTGTTCGACTTCTCTCTGGATGTAAAAAAAAGAAACGAAAAAAAGATATCTTTTTTTCTTTATTAACGGAGCAGGTAACGAAATCGTGACGTCCATAAGAAAAAAAAAAAAAAAACGAATGTGATGGGGCCTGTTGTTACAGAGGCCAGCTGCTTTACCACGAAGCTTACATCATGTGTCGAGAAATTCACTCTGTACCGTGTACACCTTGCCAACGCTTATCACCGCGTGAAAAAGCCGAGTCGTTGGGCAATTAGCGCATGCTCGGTGTCAAAATTGCTACACAAGAGAGCTATCGCACGCACGCTAAAAACCCATTTCAGAGCTAAGTTGTGCAGACGAACCATAGCGGGGAAGACAATTGTTGGAATAGCCTAAAGGAGAGGGAATGAACGAGTGAAGGATGCTTCAACGAAAAGAAACCACATACATCATAAACATGGTGGTAATATTTTACTCCTCTAATACACTGAGTGCCAACAATTTTTTCTTCGGTGCAGGATGCAGCCTCCTGGTACTCCACATGGGTCGCTCTGACTCTGGGCTTGGCCTTATGCCTCATCCTGTCAATGTGTTCGCGTTGGCGATGGGGCAACAAGACTGAGGGTGCGGCTCTGCCTCCAGGACCCTGGGGGATTCCATTACTTGGGAGCTTGGCTTTCCTAGGAGGGGATTTTTATTCCAAGGAGTGCGTTGACTGGACCAAGAAGTACGGACCCGTTTTTAGGTAAGTTTTAGGAAGCTTCAAATTAGTGGGGATCTCAGGTCATCTAAATACTAACAATTCAGCATCTTAACATTTTGAGGCGGGGTAAAGGTTGCAGAACAAAACAGAACTTGCACTAGAGAAATAAAGCGAACACGTATCCGGTCCCAAGTATAACTACGACGATACTAAGAGCACTTTTTTGTGAATCATGCAAAGGTATTGCTACATGTAAAGTCGTGAACTGCTTAGGTAATGAGCTCTCTAGTTTTGATATGCCTGGGTAAAAAGTCAAATCACAGCAGCAATGAACATAAATATTGGCTTAACCATCAAGATACGATAAATATAAAGCGCGTGTGGTAACCAAGGTTGCGAGACCAGCATTTACAGCCTTCACGAATATATTTCTATTTTGAGAACCTTTCACAGACACAGCAGCTGTCGAGCCACGAAGGAATGCTTCAAGCAGAGCTCGTTGTAGCTGACGTCATCGTTCCTGAAGTATGAGGCATATCCGAGCGATGGCTCTAAAACGTTTCACAGTTTTCATTCCTATAGCCACTGCGGGCCCCCATTTGAAGCGTCCAAAAAGCTGATTTAAGAAAAAAATAAAAAATCATGGAAATGCGCCATTGGCTTTTAGTGCATGATGCTAGCAAGCCTAAAGCTCCTCATGTCATCTAAGGATTGACTGTGTTTATAGTAGAAGTCACAGGTAACTAATTATCGAGTTTAAAGGTAATTACGGAGGGCATTGCAGTATTTTTTTTTTTAATGTTGGCTGTCATTGCCAATGTTTAGTGATGAGTATATTTGAGGTGGTGAAATACTGATTTTAAACACTATTTCCTCCACACAACATCGTTTATGCTACCATTTTGTTATTATGCCGGAATATGGGACCCTTCTTATAAGCTTGTTTTTACTGCGGAATTCCGTTCTAAGGGTAGCGAATTCAGATTGAATGATCGTCCATGGCGGGCCAGACACTTTCCTGATGCCAGGTAATATCAGGTCAAGGCATGTCCCGGTCTCAGGTGACGTCACGACCTCAATCAACACTATTGTGTCGAGTAACGTGTTGGGTGTCAAATCATGGTGTGACGTGAGTGACGTCATGTAGCATCGGATAACATTACGTCCCTTTACGCCACCACTTGATGTGAATCGTGCAGGCGACGAGACGTCACGTCACCACGTGATTTGGCGGCGTGAGTCACGGGACGTCACGGGATTAATCAGCTTGTCAATCACGAACATCATCAAAACGCGTATTTTATTATACATTAGAAATAGGCTTCACGGATTCATTGTTAAATCAAATAGAGCTATCAATGCTTCTGCCTCCCGTTTTAATTAATTGACTTTGTCGCTAAATAACAAACAAATTTATTTAAAAAATGCAAAAGATGTTTTAATGCGCACTTAAATAAATATACCATTACCGCTTCTTTTGTGTTCTGGCCGATTTTTTTTATGATAGGTTGAGGTTTCGTTGTTTGCCCTCTATCTTAGCTGGTTGGAAATCTAGGCTTGATGATGCATTTCTTGTCGCTCCAAATAAACTCTGCACCCCATAATTTCAGAATCAAACTAGGTGTGAAAAGCATCGTCTTGGTCAACGACTTTGAATTAATAAAAGAAGCGCTCTGCAGGACGGAGTGTCTTTCCCGTCCGCGGAGCTGGATATTCAAGAACGTCGGTGGTGCGTAATCTATTTCTTTTCCTTCTTATGAAAGCTCGCCTTATCCACGTGGTTTTTAGTACGTCTAAACATAGCTCGCTGCAACTTAGTGTCGCCGAGACGATAGCATAACTGTATAATAATGGCGCGTTCACACTGGAAGCGGATCCGCAAATCAGAAGCGGATCCGCGCGTTCTCAACCGCAAAGCGGCTGGAATCGAGCGGTTGGAGCGCGTTTTTGCCAATCGCTTCGGGACCATTTGCGCCAACCACTTTCCCGAACCGCGAAACGGCAACCAATCGCAACGCGACGCTGACGTGACGTCGGTGACTCTCGAAACAAGATGGCGCATGTCGCTGGTAAGGCGTCCAAGGCGCTGTAGTCCTAGCGTTACAACTGACAAATCGTCGGAGAAACGTGATTTTCACGTGCGTCACTTCAATCCGCCGCGCAAAGAACCGACTCGTAATCTTAATGGGCTTCGTACCGGTGATTTGGTTCGGTTAAGAGTCTGTTTATTATTCCGGGCGCTGCAGCCCGAAGCTCGCTGCCTTGTTAGTCTCTCTCTCTGTAGAACGTGGAAACCCGCCCCTTATCGATCTAAATGTCAGCTTTTGTACCCACTAAGACAGGCGCGTCAGCTATTAGGGAGTTTTAGAATAACGTACGCAATTTTAGCGCACGCTAGCGCTAAATTTAGCGCTTGCTTTAGCGCACGCGACGCAAGAGAGTTTTGGAATAGCGTTTCTCCGCCGCGACGCCAAAGCCCAAGCATCTCGCGCTCGCAACGCCACCAAGATAAAGTTCACGATTTTTATTTCACATACGAAATGCTGCAACTTGAGAAGAAACAAGATTTTTGGTCCGGAGTAACAATTTTACATTTGTTCAAACGTGAGAGTGCGACGCGAGTGGTCGACCGGTCGCGTCCGCCGCATGCGTCGCCTCGGCAAGAGTGTACTGACCTTCGCCGATAAATGTTCGCTCGTCGCAAGCATCAAGTTGCCGGTGATCGTTGCCCACCTGGGTTTTCGAAACGGAGTGCAATGTCGTCCCGTGGTCCTGTATTGGAAATCGCAGTCGCGAGGATGCCGCCGACGTCGCGCTCACGACGCCGCCAAAGCGACCGCAGTCATGGTCCTGGGGGCCGCCATTTTTTTTTTTTTTTTTTCAACTGAGCTCGTTTTGGCTTTAGCCGACTTCTCACCCCGAATCCTCCTTAGGAGCGCAAAGCCCTTTGCGTATGCACGCTATTTCCGAGAAATAGCGCACGCTAAAATTGCGCACGCAAAGCGCAAAACCTGGTTTGCGTTCGGAGCATGCGCAGTGGCGACGACGCTATTCTTTGCGTACGCAAAGCTTTAGCGTGCGCTATTCTAAAACTCCCTATTGAAAGCTTTGGACCCCGTGCATGACCACCATAAAGGCCGAGAGACTTCGTGAGCCTGATTGCGTAGCCAACGCACTACCGCGGAGCGGGCAGGGTACCTGCGCTAGCTCGACCTGTAACGTTTACTACTAAAAAAAGAAATAAAGGGAACCTACTCAAGAAATAAAGTGTAAGTATCAGACGATGCAGAGTTAATCCATAAGGCATTTATTTGAGCTTAATGTCAAACGAAGAGTAGACTCGATCGACGTGCGAGTGACGTGAGGAGAGTCCGCCACCGACGAAGCCACGACCGGCTAGCACCGAACAGATTCCCCCGCACCACGGTGCACCCCACCACTCCCAACTTTCAAAATAATAAGAGCGAACGACGATTAGGAAATACTATACTTCGTCTCACTCTACGATGGACTAAAGGAAAAAGCTACGGACCGCCAGGTCCAATCACAAGCCACTTAAAAATTGTGCGGTATTTCGCCTCGATGCACGTATCGGTGCCCGCGTCTCGGATCACTGATGAGGGGACGGGTGGACAGTGGTTCGAATCAAAGAACACTGAGTGACTCAACAGTTTTACATCGCAAAGAAAGTCACGAGATTTAGGCTCTTTGCAGCGTCAAAGCTATAGAAATGATGCGGCGCTTTTGGATTGGAGCATTATTCGTCCACCCCTAATCAATGTAAAGCGTGTCATAGTATAGCGTGGAACATGATTGGACCTGGAGGCCCGTGGCTTTGGCCTTTAGTCCATCGTAGGATGAGACAAAGTATAGCCCTTCATCCCGAAAACAAGGTCAGCTATTCATGCGGGAAGGTCCTCTTCAAAGAAGAGGTGGGGGCATCTCTTTCTGAGTCAGAACGTCACGCCTAGCTGGGCTTTGCTTGTGGGTGAAGTCGAGGGAGTCGCAGGCAAGGTTTTACCGGTCAATATCTACTTTTTCGCTGCCTGAACTAGTGATGCGTGCAAATATCGCGAAAACAAATCTCCAGAGTGCCAAAATAGCAAAAAGTGTGGCTTTGGATCGCAAGTTAAAGTGGATTTTGGATTGTAAGACAGGGTTGTCTAACTTAAGTATCCAAGATCACGCGTGATCGCCGAGAAACCACCAACCGCCTCTTGCCAACGGCCGACCGGCTCTTGAGTGTGTCTGACGGGATCGCTCGGGAACCGCATCCGCAACCGCGTCGCGAACGCGGATCCACTCAGAGTGTGAATGCGCCATAAGAGAGTCTTTAGCGCCTTTCCTTCGAAACATCAGATCTGTGTGTCTCTGCTACCTTTGTTACAGACACTGGCAGCTTGAAAAGCCAGGCGCGTGGCATATTATAATCCCAATTTTGGTAGCAATTGTTCCTTGTCATTCTTATAGGCCTGTCATTGGCCGATAAGCGATAACAAGGGGCCTGGGGCCACTTGGGCGCATATGATTAGATGGCCAGCAAGCACACATAACACGTTAACTATCGATGCAGTCCCTAATGCTTGATGACTAATGCAGACAAAACAAAACAACTGGCAATGTCACGCAAATACGAGATTTTATTTTTCCCTTATGTTCTTTAATCCGCTACCTGCGCACATGTCACCACGTTGTGTTACCTGGCGATCTATATTGACACCAGGATTTTTTTTTTTTCGTGACATGCTACTTCGATTGGTGCCTCATCAGTACGAATGATTGGTTTACTTTCGAGGCGGTGGTATTACTTTAGGAATTAGTTTTGCATTGTACGTCTATTTGCCTGCCTCATACGAACAAAACTTGAGTTCGGTAGTGTAGCATGGAGCTCCTTGACGGCTTTTGATGTATGGCGAAGTGAAACTATACCTTGTTACAGAAATAATAAACAGAAAGGAAGAAAGGAACATGTCATCAGAACCAACGCGCTCACGTTCAACTATGAAACTATACAGAAACGTTTTCCTCGTATTATATATGAAAGCTATATAAACCCATTGTTATGACTACGACTACCAATTCAAGCGTCTACATTTGCAAAATCTATCTACTCGCCGACTCACCCGTGATATTTTCTTTCTGCACAAGGTAATTAATGGTCACTTCGATGTTGACCTGCTAAGCTCAGTACATTTTTATGCACCTGCTGGCTTTTGCAGACCCACCGCTCTTCATTTTATCCTTCAATTCAAGAAAAATATGACCATTAATTCCCACGCAACTCACATCTAACAATTTAAAGTCTCCATCTTTGAACGTTTTTGATGAAATGAACTTTTTCCAGCGCAAACTATACTTGCGAACTCTATGTTTTTCGACTTTTGTATGATATAAAAATCTGTTTTAGTTTTTGTGAGATTAAAGTTTAAGAAAAATAACTTTATGACTGTTTTTTTCTCTTTAATTTTCTAAGAAGCGTGAATATTTTTTGTGTGAACTGCCAGTGAGCAATTTATCTGTGACTCTCACATGATGAGTTCTAACGTTTATATTTTATATGTCTGTGGATCGATCTGAATTGTATCGCTTAAATTTTTATCTTGTGCTACCACTTCAAAACCTCAAGGTTGTTCTGGGCCACAAAGAACATAAATAATTAATTAACTATTAACACATCGCTCAGCATCTGTTTAGTAGTTACTAAAGTTATTGCTAACGGAATATCTGTATAAAACACCGGTATTATAGGAAATGCTACTAATGACGCCGCCAAATCTATCAATCTATAAACTCACCTGCAGAGGAGAAAAACAGTGGCCTTCGAAAAATAGTCACCCTCTTAAAACCAGTGCTTGACTACAAAACAAAACATTAACGTATACTGAACTGAAGCCGCCCAATACTGTGATCATTTTCCATGATTTTACAGAGAGCCCACGAAAGGCACATGTTCTGCCATTAAGCTAGGCATGGTGTCTACTCGGAGATGGAATTGATTCGATATTAACATCTTTATTTGCAGGAATCGCCTCCCTGAACAGTAAACCTTGGCAGGAAAACCGCCGGTTCTGCAACAAGATGCTGCGTGAACTTACTCATGGAAAGAAATCTATGTTGGGACATATTGAGGTCAGTATGCTTCAAAATTAGCGCACTCCAAGATGAATAGCTTCTATTACTAGTTATACCACGCGAAGCTGATTAAGCAAAACGCTAGGAATGCTGCTAGCAAGAGCGGTGTTATTATTATACTTTAACTCTTTCCTGACCACGGGAAACGTAGAAAATTATTAAATGATCTATGCAAAAGCTTTTCTTTTCCTAACAAATTTGCGTATGGAGCAATGTGACACATCAAAATGTGTCCAATTAGTTGTTCTTTCAAAAGAAACTGAGGTTAGTATAATTCGGGAAAAATATTTAATTTTTTTTTTGTTGAAATATACAATGTCCGTACGGATGGCGTATAAAGTCCGACACTTCTGCAGCTCTGCAAATGAAACGGCAAATAAAAAGAAAATTCAGAATATGCAAAATGTACGTGACACCCACGGCTATTACTTTTGAAAGTTAGTTTACCTTAATTGACGTTGTTTATCTTCTGTTCGTCAGAGAGTTAACCTCCATAACATATGTGCGCTTTTCAATGAAGAAATACTTATAGCGGGAAAGCACTGATAGTACACCTCACATTCTCAGTACATTTCTCTCTTTGAGTTCTATCTTTGGTTTGTCATAGATTTGTTTGCAGTTCCTTCATATTTAGCTTTTTTTGTCCGCCTTGTAGAGAACATAAAACATGCACGCCCACTCAGGGCAGCATTGGAAATTATGGTAATGCTCACCAACAACCACCTCCTAAGCAACGCCTTCAACATAATCTAAAATGACCCTGGAGCTCTTGAGGTTTAAAATGCGCCACAAAACAGTTGGGTTATGTAAATGATACCATTTTTGTTACAAAGACCGATGACATCATCTCTCTTGGGTGTTCGATAACTAAAGAGATTGTGTAGTGTTCCACAAAGGCATGTTCAATGCTCTCCTTGTCCGTTGAAAACGTCCCTTCATAAACAATGTCACTTATATCGTTTTCAACTACATATCGTCGCTCCATGCCAACGGCTCTTTCGGTAGGGATCTCCCGCTCCAGTAAGCGCTTTAAACGCGCACGTAAAACAACCCCCTGATACTAATCGGTATCGAGTGCTTGCAGGCGCTCTTGAAAACTGACAATGTCGTCAGTGAAATGCCCAGGCGATAAGCATTTTTCGCACAACAGCTCTTTCAGCAGTTCATTTAATTCCCCTTTACCGTACCTTGCTCGTGTTTCAAAACACTTAAGCGCTCAATAGCTGTAATGTTAACATCATGTTTAAGAAACCCCCAAAATAGTTTCCCTCGGCCCTTGCTAACTCGTCTAGAGTTTGGCGTACCGACTTAACAATGGTATCGTCCCCAAGCAGCTTCCTGTTGCATTTCCGAATGTTCCACACGAACTTTTTAGGTGTTTCTTTGGACGAACAGAGTGAAAACGATACGAGGCAAGTCTCTAAAAAACACGTGGTCTACAGTATATAGTTTACAGGTCCCAAAAAGTTCGACGGACACGTGCGCTTTGTAAAAGCGTGCGTGACTTGCGCCCTGAAAGTGCGTAAAACGCAAAATCTCCCCGCTTGTCGCGCAGTCAGCAACATCTTCTAGAACGTGACGCAAAATTCCCCCCTCCCCCCCCCCCCTCCCCCCAAAAAAATGTAATTTTAAAACTTTTATTGTTCGATCAGTCGTGGAGCGCGCACGCACATTAAAGTCGCACTACAATGTGACGCGGCGATCGGTTAAGGATACATCTCAAAACTTGACATAGAATTAACTCTAATTTATACTTCTCCGTGCGTAAACGCACAAAACGCGGAAAAGCTGGTTAGAAGAAGAAAAAAAATCACATATGACGAAACGTACTAACTCTTCGCTAACGACTTCTACCACAGTAAACAAAGACTTGGGCAAAAACAAAAGACACCCGCCAGGGGTTCCGACAGCGCTGCTGACAAAAACGTCGTAAAGCGACTAGAATAACCGCACCACTCTCCGTCAGGCACTCGCCCTTCATCCTTCATTCCTGAACCACCACAATACCGAGGTCACGATCTATAAAGAGGCGGCTCAGTTCGCACTGCCAGCGTCGTGAACACTAACGGCGCACGATAAGAGAGCGTACTCGCAGTGACTTTTCAAGCATGCAACATTTTAAAAGAGGGTCACACGGGGAGCATGGTGGTTAGAAGGCATAAATAATTAAAAACAAACCCGAAAAGTCCAGAAAGCCGACAGAAAGCGACGCCTCAGTTTGGTTGCTCTTCCGAACTCGTGCGCGACGCCGACAGGTCACGGTAACGTCCCACCTTGCCAACCCATTCGTTCCCGAGGCGTCGCAGCTGCTTATCGCCGGTGTCGGGGGCTACGACGACAAGCCGTCGCTTCGCAGATCCGGACACGGCGTTCATAAGATCGCCGTCATCGACGTCGTCGCCGCCTTTGCCCTTGCCGCCGTCAACGCCCTCGGTCTCGCTAGCGTCGTCGTCGCCCCAGGTCTTGCCGTGGTCGTCCTCTGACCCGGCAGCTGCCGCAGGGGCGCGTGGCGTCTCCGTCCCTCTTTCGGGCACAACGTCTTTGACGACATCGGGGACCGCTTGGTCGACGGTACTGTGGACGAGGGGCCCGGTGTCGCCTCGCCGGACACTGTGACTGCGTCCGCGAACTCGCTTTGGACTTGCTGGACCGCCGAGGTCGTCGCCGCCGCAGCCCTCTCGGCCTGCGCCACGGCGGTGTTGTTGCCGGTGACACGTGCGTTCGTCTTGACGCACACTAAGGTCTTGTGCCCAAAATATCGGTGCACCGGGACACCTTACAGTCTTGACGGACGTGTCCCGTTCCGTGGCACCGGAGGCAGACCGGCGCTCGACCGGGGATGGCGACCAGGACGTTGCCTCCGCTGATCCGGAGCTGATGAAGAAGACTCCCAAGGGTGACGCCCTCGTTCAGCGTCATGTGCACGACAAGCGTGGTGGACTGTACGTGGACAAAGCCAAGGAACTTCCACTTTTCGCGCACGATCTCCTTGACTGAGCCGAAGGCCTCGAAGGCACGGCGCACCCTGTCAACAGGGGCGTCGAAAGCGACCCAGTGGAGCTTGATGCGCAACTCCCTGCGGCTTGGGCCGACCAGGTGGCAGTAGTGACTCTTGACCTTCAAGCTTCCAACTCCCAAAAGCTTGGCCTTGGCTACCGGCGTTTGAAGCTTGGGAAGCCAGTCCTGGCTCATCAGGAAGGCCACCGGACCAGCCAAGTCCCTATCAAAACACCGAAAAGCAAGAGGCCGAATAATAATAATGCCAAACGCCAGAATGTCGAAAAATTGAAATACCAAAAAACTGAGATGCCCAAATATTGAAATACCAAAAAGTCAGAACGCCGAAAACTACAAAAGGCGAAAAACAAATAAATCGTTTTGCCACTTCCACTTTGTTCGGTTTTCAACAAAGCACTTTCCATTGATACGAGCCCTTTTAGCTAGTTCTACGAAGACACCAGTATCAATGTAGACTAAACTGATGTAAAATGTTGTGTTTTGCTATCGTTTGTAAAGCTATGCATATCAGTCGGATGAAAAAAAACCTTATTGGTCAGCAGAAAAACACAGCACTGTCCAGTGTTAATGGCACAAGAGAATCAGCAATGTGTGGCAGTAATCATTTCACTGATTCGGAGCGACATGGACGAAGACGGAATTATGTGTTTCCAGAAGAGAAAGCGAAACTTATTTGGAAAGTCATTTATGCTTACGTGCTTGACAAGAAAGTGAGTTCTAGACACTATTGGAGGTGCGAAAACCAAGGCGAATGCGACGCTAGGCTGATTACCGACCTTCCTGTAGAAGGTATTCACAATATCATCTCGAAGACAGTGACCCACGCAAGTCATGCTCCGGATATCTGCAGGGTTACAGTTCTTTGTACTCAAGAACGGGTCAAAGCTCTGGTAGCAATCTCACATGAGGCACCCATGATGATTGTGCAGCAAGTCACGGCAGATGCAGCAGCGTGTTCAATGCAACAGCTTCAAAGGAATGAAGCCTTGCGCCACATTGTGAGAACAAAGAGGAAAACGGACTGCCCACGCGAGACGTCTAGTGTGCAGGCGCTCATCATCGAGGACGAGTTGAGAATAACTTTAGATGGCCGGGAGTTTCTGTTGTGCGACTGCACCTGCGCTGATAGAGCTCGACTCTTAATTCTTTTCTTTTTTTTTTCACGAACGGAAACTTGAAGAAACTGAACGACACTCCGATGTGGCTCATGGAGGGAACATTAATTCGCCGCTCTTCGACCAGCTATACACAATTCACAGTTATCTTCATGGCCATGTGTTCCCTTTAGTTTACTGCCTCATGACTGGACGAACCCAGATGGCATACGAGGCACTTCTAAGAAGTGTTGAACTTCGCCGCAGATCTTGAACGTGCACAAAATCCGAAATCCGTGAGTACAGACTTTGAATTGGCACGTATCAACGCTATTCGGTCGTTGCTCCTGTGTCATCGGATGTGCATATTGTCCTTGCCACTTGTGCCCATCAGTATGGAGGAGAGTGCAGCACCTAGGACTGGTAGTTCTCTACAGAAATTATGTAGATTGCTTCGCCATCAAGGTGAGGCAGCTTGCAGCCCTTTCGTTCTTGCCCACCGAAAAAGTGCAAGGTGCCTATGCGTCCTTGAAACCACTCTTCCCGCAACAAGCGTCTGTTCTGCTGCGGTGGTGGGAGGACAGCTACCCGCTTGGGTAATCACGCCGCCGTGTTGGTCGTGTCGCCAGAGGTAACTCCAGCGTTATCATACGAGGTCCATTGGTATTCCCGCCATCCCTCAGGAGTGCGCTTGCCCTCGCTGAGAACGGGTTTCCAAGGAGCAATAGCTCCGCTGAGGCATGGCATTGACGATAGAAGATATTGGTTGGCGGGCACCACGTAGGCGTCTCTTGGCTCATCACCACCATGAAAAGGGAGCAAGCTACAGTGGAAGACGGCATCGAGGGAGTAATCAGAAGACAGACTTTCCCGCCGCCCACGAAGCGAGAAACAAAAGGTGCGCGAAAATCGTTTGGCAGCTGCTATGGGCAACCGAGACAATGTCGACGTCCTAAGCTATTTTCGAAGAATTGCACAAAATTTATCCGTCTGAAATGGAAAGAAGACATTGGTCTGGTATGCGAGCAGATATAAAGAAATATATTTTCCCTCTTTTTAAACATCAAATATTCGAAGGAAAGCTATATTCCGGGATAAAATTTCATGACTATTAGAAAACAGAACAAAAGCGCGTGCTCATCGGCGACCGCAACCTCTTACTTAACGCTGATTACATTGCCAAGAATCTTTTTCTCCTTGTATAGCTAGGTGATACAAGTGTAATCCCATCATGTCCATGTTTCGGCATTTGATGTTCTGCTGTTTTGACTTTTCGGCGTTTTTAATTTTCGGCTTTCTGAATTTTCGGGGCTTTGAATTTTCGGTGTTTCAAATTTCGGCATTCTGATGATTCGGCATTTTGATTTTTGGCGTTTTGAATGCCTCCCGGACCAGCCATGCCCGCCAGAACGCCCACCAAGATTTGTGGCTCACGAAAACTCTCTATCCTGGGCGGTCTTCGCAGGAGGTCAGTGTAAAGTATCCCGCTGAGCTTGACAGCTTCTCTGGTGTGCAGAGCGAGCAGCTGCAAACGGTATACGCTTTGGGCAAAAAAGAAACCTTTGTTTTACCACGGCCGATAACGCCCGCCGCATCATGCTAGGAGCAAAGCTTTGCACGATCGTTCTGGTTGATTTAAAGCACGCTAATCGTTGGCCACCGATTCGCCTGTAAACCTTTAAGTACATGTTATAAAGGACAAATGATAAACAAATTAGATGTAGCAGTCATAATGTTAAACAAATATCGGATACATTTTGGAAGCTATCTGTAGCCGACAGTCGAGTGGCAAGCTCCATTTCCGATCCCGTCAGATGCCGTTTCAGTATTGCTGGAACGTCTGGAAGTTTGAAAAATTTGCGTATAGTTCCAGAGACGGGAACCTTTTGAACCAGATGGCCAGCCCTGTACGTAACAAGTTACATGTAATTGATTACTAGTAATCAATTACATTTTATTGTAACATTTTAACGCTTCACTTGCATGGTTTCTGCAGTAACGTTCGTGTAATTCAATTACTAATACTGTGTAATCAATTACAAGTAATATTATGCTTCCGAAAGAGTTCGAAATATTGACATAAGTTTTTTCTACGTAAAAAAATCGCTCTGTCTACCCGTGCGTCACTCGTCTATGCTGCACCAACATTGGGTAGTTTTTTGACCCCTAAACAACTAAACAAAGGTACGAACATACCAGAAGGATTAAAAAGGCAACGCGCACAGGGACGTTTTGACGACTACCGAGCTGTCTAGGGTGCCCCACTTTCTGTGTCCGTGTTGTTACGATCTCGGGTTGATGCGACATAGACGACTATATTGCACTGACCTCATCTAGCCACGACAAGGAACCCCCCCCCCCCCCCCTATTCCATCTCAAAAGTGTTCACCAGCGCGTCGTTGCATAGAACAGACTAAAAACAGGTTATCTTGTCTACGATTTTTTATGTTACCAGATTGCGGTTTCTACTGGTCCAACATGTGGCTGGTTCTTTATTCTTCTCTCTCTCTCTCTTTATTTATATTTCTACCTTTATCAGTGAAGGAATCGGCGAATTCTATTATCAATTGGTATAAATGACAAAAACAAACAAAATGTAAGCACTTTGAACAAATGTGAGCGTTTACCATTTATTTATAAAAAATTAAAAAAAAAGTAACGCGAAAAGTAATTAATTACTTTCTGGTCATTTTTCATTAATTTTGTGATGCAGTAATTGGTTATTGTGATCAGTACATTTTCAATTAAAAAGTTGTAATTGTAATTGGTTACTTGTTCAGTAACATGCACAAAAATGCAGATGGCTGACCAATGAGTTATGCAACTATTTAGCACATATCTAATTACAGTCTAGCAACAGCATGGTTGTTGCTATTGGCGAAATATTTTGTTATTAACAAGCCCCGAAGCCCCGAAGTTCCGAAGCTTTGAGCGCATGATTTCGTTTAGCATCTTAATTATGTTCTTTTTCTCGCAGTGGGCATTCGCGGGTGACAACTCAAGAAGGTAGGGCGAGGTGAAGAAAGGTGCGAGAGGAGGAAATGGACGCAACGCTGGCGAGGGGACTAGGAAAACCTCTCCCCTCTCCAGAGTTGCGTCCGCTTCCTCCTCTCTCACGTTGCTTTCCCTCGCTCTACCTTCTTAACTTGCAACACACTATAGCCATGCTAGCGCTGTACACTGCACAAAACGCGGCATAGATCCGTTCGCTTGAATTACTTATGTTCAACAATGCAGAAAAGGTATTTCCAGACGAACCTTCATGCTCGTTTTCAGTAAGGTGTAAGCAAGCATTGTTATTGTGGTGTATATTATCACGGAGTAAGGGGAAGAGACGATAAATGATTAACTGAAAATAAATGTTTAATCAGCGAACTTGTGCAAAACAATATCAATAACAATAGTCAAGTCAGCAGAAAAGCGGGCGGGGATTTGGCGGCGCAACAGGAAGAAGAGCGAGACTGGCTCGACAAGGTCCCTCGCAGCTCTTTATCTTGTGTGCGTCAGCTTCTCGAAAATTGTGCCCAGAGTGTTTGATCGTTGCGCGTTAGGGGTGAGAGTGAACAGGAACTTTAGAAAACAAGAAAGTAGGACGAAATAATAAAAGTTACCTCCCGAGTAAGAGTGAACGCGAATCTTCTAGAAGTCTGTGACCGAGCGTTATTTGCTCGGCCCTGCGCGCATCAATATCATCCATGAACCAGAAAGCACTGTTGTGAAACCGCGATACCACCATCGCTAAAGGTTGCATATATATATTCCACTATAAAGTTAGACACATACTAAATAATTTCCCAGCCGAGATAATTTATTTATTTATTACATACTGCAGGCCTTTTCACAGGCCCATGTAGGGTGTGGGGTACGGTAGAATTCAAACCACCATTACTCATGGCTACCATAATTATTAGTAATTAACAATTTAACTCGCCCCGTGCCGAAATATATTAGAATTTACAGCGGATGCTACCCCCCAAACCCGGTTGGCGGTGCCCTGCCAGAGCACCGTTGTGTTGTCTGGTGCAAATTAACACTAGCCATTATAATGGCGGTAATGCATGTACATTTCAAAAATACTTCAAAAAATGAGGAGTCCTCTAAGAACTAACCCTCTATTTCTGATATGTTTTATACAATTTTTTTTCTCCCCATGCATTGACTTCGTCATCCAGTTTATTTCAACAGCAAGATTTAAATGATTATGTACGGCTGTTTGGCACACAGCTTCACTAACAAACAAACTGTTGAGCTGTCTACGCAAGATTTATTACCTTGTGGTGATGAGATAAGAGGAATACTTCCCGTGCATTTCTAATAAATCAAACACTGCCAAATCATGATTGCCCATGTAACACTCTAGTCGACAGTTTCGTATCTAATTTGTGACAGACGTTTGGTTGTTGATTCAAGGGCTGTGTGTTTGTCCCACAGGAAGAATTTCAATACCTTCGAGACAAAGTTGCAGAAGCAAGAGGACAACCCATTGTACTACGGCGCACTCTCCTTCACAGCGTGTCCAACAACATTGCAACGCTCCTACTTGGTAGCCGTTACCAGCTTAACGACCCAAAGCAAAAACAATTGGAAAAACTTCTCATGACGTTTGAAATTTTATTCACTAAAGTACCCCAAGTGGAGCCACTACCCAAGTTTCTCGGTTTTATATCACGATTTGCCTTCGACCTTGCGGGCGGAATTTGTGGAGGTCAATTTGTGAAGCAGCTCTTCGAGTTCTTTGGGTGAGTTTGGTCTACTCTGCATTTCGTTATACCAAAGCAGCTTGCTAAACCCGCTCTTAGGACCCTTTCAAATAAAGCTTTGATAAAGTTGAGAGTAGCGGCAATGGCACGAGAATAGTCTACATAAACTTCTTACTCTTTATGATTCAATTATAAAAAAAAGAATTCAGCATTGTTATTGTACTTTTTTTTTTTTAGCAAGATATCTCAAATTATTACCGTTCAATTATGGAATTGCATGCCAGCTGCCTTCTTGGACGCTGTCTGTGAGACTATCAGCCCGCGTTCATTGGTGTGAACCAAACTTTTTTATGATGATCTTTAAATGAGTTGTCATCTGTTGCCTCACCTATACTCCGCTTCACTCCAAGTCCAAACGCAGCCAACGAACCAATGGATACATTAAAGCGGCACTCAAATTGCATCGTCACGATGCTCGTCCTTTTTTTTTTTTTTGAGGGGGGGGGAGGGGGAGGCGTTTGGTTCTACCGGCTAGACCAATCGCGCACACGAAGAAAACGCAGGAGCCGGCGCATCCTTTGTCTATGATTGGTTTTGTCGATGATATCAACCGCTCAAACAAGATAACCGCCATGAGGATGCACGGCTGCTGCTGCTTGATTGGCCACTTCGGATCTCAGCGTCGCCTGCCGTAGGACCTATAGTGAAACGAACTGTCGACTCACAACGACCTAGTTAAAACTAAAAAATGAAACGCCGTAGGCAGAGAGTTTTTCATTTCTAACTTTTCACTGGGGTAGGTTTGTTCAGTGAAATTTTTATAGCCCTAATTCGCGTTCTTAGGTTTGTGCAAAAGCTTAGCTCGGTACGTGTAGAAACCGATTGACGCCGTCCCTTCGAAAAGCCGTCGACCCCTTTGACTCTCCCTGTAGGTCAAAGATGGTCGTAAGTTTCGTACGTCCGTGTCTCAGGTGACTGTAGCAAGGTGTCTTGTTTTTTCTCAGCCATGAAGTCGACCGCCGTTTGGAGACGACAGAGGCGAATGTAAAAAGACACTTCATTGATGGTTACCTTGCTATGATAAAGAAGCATGCTACGACGCCCGATCTTAAATTCAGCAGTAAGTTTCTTTACTGTTATACCACATTTGAAAGAGTACGGAGTTCGAGGAAGCGATAAACCGAGAGTAATAATTCAGACTTGTTATCAACCTCAACCCATATAGCGATGCTTATTTCACCCTAGAAACGAAATCAAAGTGTTACATGTATGAAATTAAACTACGAGCATGCTTTTACGGTATATACGCCTTACACGGTGTTCACGTCGAAATAGCATTAATAATGTGGTTATTGCAAATGTTAGATTTATTCTAATAGGAGAAGAAACGAAATAAGATGCAATTATTGAATGCACGACTTCCCGGGCACTGAACCTAACCACAAAAATGGCTGACACGTATAAAAAAAAATATATATATATATATATATATATATATATATATATATATATATATATATATATATATATATATATACACTCTAAAAAAAGCCAATGCGTCTGCTTTCCCGCACAACACTCGAAGAGCCAATCACCGCAACTTACAAAGGCAGCTCAGCGAATGACGATGCCGAAACATATGTTTAGACCAAAAAACGCAGTCTGAGTTCTGACATTCAGCAATGCAAAACGTCACGCTTGCATTGCGTAATGTCACAACTCAGGCTGCGTTTTTTGGTCTGAACATATGTTTCGGCATCGTCATTCGCTGAGTTGCCTCCGCAAGTTGCGGTGATTGGCTTTCCGAGTGTTGTGCGGGAAAGCCGACACATGGGATTTTTTTAGAGTGTATATATATATTTATATCCAGGAACGCAAAATTTTTTATTGCACACAAAGAAAAGCTTCTTTATATATGAATCGATGCTGAAGAGGGGATAAATTAGTCTATCACAATGCTAAGTCTTTTGTCTAAGCTGTACAAAGTGCAATTCTGTCTGTGTCTAGGCCCTATTCCGATAGATATCTGATACCTGTTCTAATACAGCAGTAGTGAGCTACATAGTGCTGAAATATTATGTAACATAACATAACAAAAACCTGCGACAGAGTTTTGGACTGACTGATATTCTCTTCTATATTGTAATTATTTAGAAATACTACCTCTAGAATGCTAAGCATACCAATAACATGCATCGCGCTAGGCATGTATTGTGACATGACCGGGAAGAAAAATCAGCGGTAAACTAGCTTCAACAAAACACGAGATACACAAGACAAGTCGTGAAACACGCGACTGCTCTAAAGATGCAGTTGTACTGGAAGCTGAAGTGTAAATGCACGATGATATTGCTTAGGGGAAATAGACTATGTGAATTGCTAAGATGAGAGCAGGAAGAGAAAAAACAAACAGGTTAACAAAGGTGGCGTGCCGCCGGTTGGCTTCTCCGAATTAAAGTTAAGCCTGGGAGGCCTACTGTCGCCGTTTTGAAACTTCCCTCACAATCACCTAAGCGGTTTAGCGGGTAGCCGAAGGTCAGGCTATTCTCAAGCAATACTGGTTAATTTTTCGCTATTTCTGTGCAGACATTTTTTTCTTGCGATTTTCCACAGCATTTAAGCCGACGCTGCCACCCGCTTCTTGAATGTGCTCGAGCACTGTCGTTTGCTTCCGCGCGCAAAACGATATATCCTTTTCAAAAGACCACCAAGCAACATTGGCAGTCGGCTGTGCTTGGACGCATAACGTGTAATTGGATTCAAGTCCTCGTTGAACGCTGACGCAATCCCCGTTTACAATTCATGCTCAGATTACATGATCAAGCAATGGCGCACAGGCGATAGCGCGAACGTGTGAAAAGTGTATATTAGGCAGCCGCGGCGATAAAGATAAAAATACCACTGTGGCCACTCATGCTCGACCACTGACCATAGTCACCTGAGCGCTAGAAAGTTGAGTTATCATCTGCCGACCGAGCCAGTTGTGGAACGGAAGCGTGTTGGTGCCTTCTCCCCATCTGATGACTAGTGTTGACGTCAGACTTGGGCGAGCGAAAAAGTAATGCACGTATATTCACTTCCGAGAAAACTGATGTGCCTCGTAACTCAGGGGAGAAGGAGATTGCTTACCAAAAAAAAAAACAGAAAAAAAACTTTTTAATATGAGCAAAGGAAATCAACTACTGTTAGCGGTGTAACTTTTAATGGAACCATGATTACATTTTTGCATTCGCCTTTACCTACCGTTGTTCTGCTGACATTAAGAAAGAAATGGGAACTCAAGAAAAATAATTAATTTTTGGCGGCACTCAGGGTGTTTTTAGTAACGATTTCTGCGGCATACTTAAAACTCATTGTGCTCATACGACTAAACAATACAATAGGATCTACTAAAAGAGTAGCTGGATTTGGATTATAAAAACCTGAGTTTAATTTTGAAACCTATGTAACATAACAAGCACGTCTCCAAGATTAGGCCTTTAACTATGATAATGACTTCCAAGGAAGCCAAGCAAGAGCACCAGTTTGCATGGTTGAAAAATGACCCAGAGAATCAATGATGCCATATCTGACGACCATGAATCAGCACACGATATAATAATTCCACATACGTCATCGGTCCATAGGAAACAAGCCGACATAAAACATCTGGACGAATTTGGCCTCGCCGAGCACCGCAGTAAGCAAGCAACTATACTTCGTTTCAGCTCCGGTCCGAGCGCGGCCGATGTTAGGAGCCGCAGGGCCAATCAAACAGCGAAAGTGGCACAACGTCATGGCGTGCTCTCTGCAGTTGATAGGACCAGCCGGTATTCGCCGTCTATCTGCATGTGCTTGCTCATCCGCCGGCTAGTCCTATCAAGCGCAGAAAGCACGCCATGACGCTGCGCTTTTTGGGATGTGGGATTGGCCCTTCGGCTCATAACATCGGCCGCGCTCGGACCGAAACTGAAACGAAGTATAGTGTACCAGCAGTCACGTTCAACTTTGCACTGGAATGGCGACCATCGACCGGAACATCAAAATCTGCTGAAGCGTAGTGCCGAGATAGCGGCGGAAACAGAGACTCTCATAGTGCAATATTGATTCGTTGCTCGGTCAGCTCTGTAGGTTGATGTAACAGATGTGTCATAAAAAATAACATGTTTAATGATCTTTGCTGAAATGGGTGCCAGTATCGCCCGCGTGCAACAAGCTCACGGAATTCCTCGAACCAGTTAAAGCGATTTTATCTCGTCGACTTTATTAACATCGTATAAAAATCGGCCATTGAATTATATGAACTGCCCTAGTGAAAAAAGCCATTTGTATGATAAATTTCTTGTCCCCAATAAACACATATGAATCGTACAATATATACAAGAGCATATAAGAACCATGAAAGAACTATATAAGAATTATATAAGATATATAAGAACCATATAAGAAACTTCTCGCAAGTCTCTTATATGGCGCTTGAATGTTCTCATATATCTCGTATAGTTCTTATATTGTTCTTATATGGTTCCTATGTGGTTCTTATATGTTCTTATACAGGGTGTTTCAGAAAACGCAGGCCAAATCGTTCCTGCGAAAACTATTCATCGCAAAGAAAAAAGGCTCGTGGCATTGTGGTCCTGGGCCAGGGTCCCATTTAAGAAAATTATTAATGTCCGGGATAATTAACTTGTTAATTTGTTTTTGCCTAATTAACTTTTTAATATTATGTTTAAGGGCATGGTTTAAATTAGAAGATTGCTCAGCATCATCGAAAACCACTAAACCAACAAATTGCAGAATCATAGAAGGCACGCGAAGCATTTTACGGCTTTCTGAAAAACCGCACAAATTCGACGGGTGTTCAACTTTCGGTTTGTTATCGGAGCGCATCTCCGCCCCGACGGCACCGCGCAACGCGAAGAGATAGTGGAACCAACCTCTGCTGCGCTGTCATTGCGCGACGCAGTAGAGTCTGGTTGCACTATCTCTCCACGGGGCGCGGTGCTACCGGGGCCGAGATGCGCTCCGATAACAAACCGAAACTTAAAAACCCGTCGAATTTGTGCGGTTTTTCAGAAAGCCGTAAAATGCTTCGCGTGCCTTCTATCATTCTGCAATTTGTTGGTTTAGTGGTTTTCGATGATGCTAAGCAGGTTTCTAATTTAAACCATGTCCTTAAACAGAATATTAAAAAAAATAATTAGGCTAAAATAATTAACAAGTTAATTAACCCGGAGATTAATAATTTTCTTTAATGGGCCCCTGGCCCAGGACCACAACGCCACAAGCCTTTTTTTGTTGCGATGAGTAGTTTTCGCAGGAATGATTTGGCCTGCGTTTTCTGAAACACCCTGTATATCTTGTATGATTCATATGTGTTTATTGGACACAAAACTTTCTCACACAAATGAGAATTTTCAATAAGATGACCAAACTCTCACTTTTAGGTAAAGTTCGATGAGTTCCAAGAAATTTGTAAAATCACGTTAGTCGCCCTCGTCGCCACCTCTTTAGGGTCGTCGACTGTGGAAGGCTTTTGATGAAGTAAGCTCTTTCGGGTGATGGTTGAACTGCGTTGCTATCGACTTGGTCTTCCAGAAACTCGAGCTCGTCGTCCGGTCGACGAAGCCCGCATTCCGTCAGTTGCGATAAGTGCTCTCAAATATGATCCTACTGTTTCTTTGGAGTGTTTCTGAACATGAGTACGCCATTGATGTGAGCATATGTAAATGAGAAACCTTGAAGGAAACTACGTAGCCTAAACCATGTATATGAAGTGGTATTAGTTGTATCTTACGGTTTTATAGGAACTTGATAATTGGCTTGCATCAAGACCACCTTGCTGAATATTTTGACGCCCTAAAAAATTCTCTTGAACTGAATTTTGACTGTACGGACTTGGCCGGATGACAGGCGCTCTGATCTTGCGAACACCGGGGCACCTTTTATCGCGAGAATGGTGGTATGCCTGACAAGTTGATCAAGATCTGGCGGTTAAAAATTGCAGTAAGCTTGCAGGCGATTATCTAGAGACAAGTGTCATTTTTCACTCGCTGCACTGGAGAACTTAAACCAGCCGACTTTGGGACAATGGCTTGGACATTAAATTGCGTCTAGTTGTTGAGATGCATGCTTTATGCAAACCGGTGGTGAGCGCCAATCCCCTCAAGAAGACTACTTCGAATTCAGCTTGCCGCATATCTGCACCAATAAAAGGCAAGTGGTATGCACAACATAGTCAATTGTTCAACATTTACAACTTTACTCTACCTCTTGATCGGAGAGTTGCTTCCCATCTGGAGTGCTTCAGACTCCTAGCGATACCCGCGGTCTCCTGCGAAGGAGGTCCAACACTTACCATAGCACCGGATTCTACCGAAAACCTAACACTTTGTTAGACAAGCTGTCGAGGTATTGGAGTTGTCAGCCTTCAGTGGGTACCCATGACTTTTTGCAAGCAGTGGCTTTGAAAGTTGCTTACTTGTGCCGGCCCGTGCTTCTCATAGCAACATGCAAAACCTTGAGTCGGGGGACCTATTTCGAGACTGTCTGCGGTGACAGACAGCGTTCGCTTCCACGTTCGGGAACCTTAAAAGTTGCGTACCTGGGATACTATGGAGTATGTGACACAATTCATCCACCCAAACCTCAAAGCATCGGTTTAAGTGAACCAGCTTAGCGAGTTGGTTGGAGATGTTGGAGAAGCGCCTGGCTGAAAGTAGACGCGCCCGTCGTCGGCGACTTGCCTTCAAGAAGCTCTGCCATCTGTCGCAGGAATTTCATAGGTTTTTGATTGCAAAGCTTCATGGTGGTCACAGCTACTGTCTACAACGTTGGCTTAACTCGGCGAGCAAGCTTAGTTCTTAGCGGATTGTAGTAGTAATTCCGCAGAAATGCACGAGCCCACAGCCGGGCGACAAAAACGCGCAAACTAACCAATCAATTACTCCAAATGTTTTCTAGTTTCGTAGATAGGTAAAAGCTATTCAGCAGTAAGTGAATAATTACTGTTATGAAAACTAAAACTGCCACATAAACCATTAAAAAGAAACAATGAATTTCCATAACATAGCTTTGTTGATTAGTTTAGTTATCGCGAATCTTATCCCAGTATCTAATGTCCCCCGAGCTCGATAAACGTGCAGTGAAGACAGTATAGATGCACTGCTCACCCTATTTTAAAAACTTAAAAAGGCTGACTGAATAAAAAAAAAAACAATAATTCGTACTATGCTACGAATCAAACATTCAAACATTTAAAGCAATTTTCATACCCCCCAAATGAACACCTGCCCTTGAAATCGGAGCAACGCGCCATTGTGCATGCCCATATTACTAAGTCAATAAATATAGCTTCTACGAACTCATGTTTCCGCTATAGTAACGTAAACTCTTGGCTTTCCAGGCCATTTGTATGTAAAGATAAATGTTCATTTTCGCGCACAGCTCACGCCCTTCGAGGCCACGTGATTGATTTATTGCTGGCCGGGTCGAGTTCCGTGGCCATCACCATGCTGTGCATACTGCTGCACTGCGCCGACAACCCGTCCACCATTCAAGCCAGGATCCAGAGAGAGATTGACGACGTTGTCGGCTGTGACCGCAGCCCGACTTGGGAAGACCACCTCTTGATGCCATACACCATGGCCGTCATATGGGAGATGACCCGCTGGAAAACCCTCAACAGGCTAAACCTACCCAGAGAGTAAGGCAACGGCACTTTCCGTTATGAACGATTTACAGTCATGTATTTTAATGTGAATCCTGTTAATATGGACATACCGCTACGTAGACATAATGTTTTTAGGAACGAAATGATATAAACATGCATTTTTGTTTTGTAATTATGGACGGCTCAGATATTAAACAATCTTGGGGGTAACGGAGGTTTTTATATTAACGCAACAGCGACGTATTATAATCATAATAAAACAAATCGCAAACACTAGGCAAATGGCTAGAGTTTCCGTGTAGCTGCCAGTCATTCAATTCTTGAATTATTAATATGACCCTAATGCGTAATATTGTTAATATGCACGCAGGTATAACCTATTGTTATGTTTCGGTTGATAATTTAAATTTCCAGTGTTTTGGTTCAAAAAATATTTAATAAATAACCTAACCGTCTTCACCTCTTTCATTTCTGTGCATGCGTGTGGGGAAGGGGGGATTGAATAGGCTAGAGTGCGAGCGAAAATATGTTGCAAGTTGAATAATCATTTTGAAAACTCATGGTGAAGCACTTCGAGCTTGTGGAAATTGTTATGTGAGCCTGTTTCTCACGCCTATCACGGTAAAGACTGACAAGGCAGGAAGTTGGGTTAGTTGATGCAGGATTGACACTAAAAAACATGTGTAAATACCACACCAGTTATCTCGTAGAGAGTTGAGGCTTACTTCAATTGTTACACTATTCGAGTCGGTGGAACTTTGATCACTTAATTTATTACCAAACGTCGGCCCGGGACACCGTCATTTACCCATTCATTAATGTATTCAATTCATTAATGCAATAATCCCTTAACATTTGGAGTCAGTGAAATTTTACCTTATTGATTTCCAAGACTCAGTGGGGCATTTTTAATCAATAAATCATTAATTTACTAATTCATTCACTCATCTATACCGGGTGTTTCAGCGAAGACTGACGAAAATTCCAAATATTAGTGTATTTTAGCTAAAAAGATAATTTTCTCGTGACCACATTATTCCTGGTGGCGGACGTCATAAATGCGCCATATTTACTAATTAGTTCGATATTTATTTAAAATAGACAAATTCAGTTTTTAATTAATGAATATAGACATATGTCCCCAATTAGAGATTTGGTTCGCGTTATGGAAAACCACTAAATCACTAATTTCCTGAAAGACTTTGAGTGCGAGAGAAGCGTAGAAGTGCACCAATTTACTACTCCTGAAGCAGGTACAAGGCTAGTGGATGCGATAAGGCGCCCGCGCGACATTTCCGTCTCTTATCGAAGCCCCGGCCTTGTACCTGCTCCACGAGTGGTGACTTTAGCGCACTAGTAGGCTTCTCACGCGCTGAAAATATTTCTTAATATTACTGATTTAGTGGTTTTCGATGACAATCCGCAGGTTTCCAAATGGCACCACATCTTTATTTTCGCTAATTAAAAAAATAATTAGTCATTTTAATTAATTAGCAAATTAATTAGGAAGTATGGCGCATTTTCTGATGTCCGCCACTACGAGTAATGCGACACTGAGAAAATTATATTTTGATCTGGGATACACCAATTTTATGAATTTTTGGTCACTCTTAATAAAACACCCAGTATATTTATCTATCTATTTAATTATTCGCACGTATATTTTGATTTACATATTTATTGCGTTCCCAATTTAGAAGCATTGCAGGATGCCCAAGAGGTGGGTCTAAATATAGTAAACTAGTAATTACGACTCAATAGATGAATTATGTGATTGATTCCTCGAGATAGGTGGAGGACGCGAGAAAATATTAATATATGATTATCGCAGAATATAATTGTTAGCGAAATCCAGCGAGCCAAGGGGCGAAAAATTCAGTTACTTTCTGAAAAGCGTGTTTTATGGTGTGGAAAGTTTAATCTCCACGGTTTCGCTAGGTGTGAAAGTAAAACACAGTGATGTGCAGCTAGCCTCGGACAATCAATTAGCGACTTTTCAAAATGGAACCTTCTTGTATTTAGTTGGCAAAACAAGTGTCAATTGGTGAAAAAGTGTTAACAGAATGATATTCCATTTGTTTGGTGTTCTAGAACTTCGGCGTCTTTTGATCCACTAAATATGACGACGAAACACGAAGATCCTCGTAAATGAAAACTTTGCTGCTCGTCAGAGGTTTGCGTGCAGTTCAGATGACTGTAAAACATGCGCACTATACTCTCTTCACCGTAAGCTGAGACTGCGGCGGGAGCTACGCTCTTGCCGTACCAATCAACCGCTTCCGTCGCATACCACCAGTCTTGTACACGTTACTAAAAAAAGTAATCGATTACAATTACTATTACACTTGGCTAAAAAGTATTCGATTAGATTACTTGATTACTCGACGGCAAAACTAGTTGGACATTACTTAAAGAAGTAAACGTTACTTTTCCGATTACTTTATTGTGTGAAGACACATCTTTAGCGCTCGTAACAATGAACAACTTCCAACCTATATTTCACATTTGCACAAGTATTGAAGAAAAAAAACTGGCTCCCTCTTTGTGGTCGTTGCACCTTCACAATGCGGACACAAGCAAAGAATTTGTTTGAAGACGTGTGGGGGGTGGGGGGGGGGGGGGGGGGGAGCGGAGGGGGTTCTAGATCTTGTTAAGCTTGAGCAAGGGTTGTCGCTCAAAGTTTACGTCGCTCATTTTATTATTCACATGTGGATGAGCCCCCATGTTATACAAAAGAGCAGCAGCTCCAAGGTTTGAAACGAATCATGTGTAGTATCCATTAGCGGAAGATATCGCCCCTACCACTTCTCAACTCGAAACATTGCTTGTCACAAAGACCACGTAGGGGAAATGGGGAAATATTTCAACTGCCTTTGTTATATTGTCCATCTGCTTTAGGCATTCTTCGGTTCTGGTTCTCCTACGGGCTGCGAGTAGGTACCCTAAGCAGGATTTTTTAATTTTTTTATTTCTGTATGTGTGTCCGTGAGAGGGCTAGTTTAAACGAAGGACTCACAAAGCTACATTCTGCTTCCTCAAACTTTGCCCTGAATGGACTTTGTCACGCACTGTGGCTTTCCTGGGGCTTCCCAGTCCCAGTCCCAGCTCGAAAAAAAAAAACAAAAAAACGTCCATTCCACAGAGACTGCACATAGAAATAGATTAACCTCGTTTCCTACAGCTCCGCAAAAATCTTTCTTTTTTTTGTTCAAAAAAAAAAAGCAAATTTTATTTTTGTCATTTCATAAAAAAAGGCGTCTGCCGGGAAAGGGGGGGGGGGGGGGGGGGTCCCGTGGACAAATTGTAACGGTTACAAGTAATTTTATTACTTCAAAAAGTAATCAGATTACTCTTGTGATTACTGCCTAATAAAAGTAATCAACTGATTACAAAATTACTCCAAAAAGTAATCGATTACAAGTAATTTTATTACTTGTAATGCGTACGGTACAAGTCTGTACATAATACCACCTGCCCCAGCTCTCCGCGCGAGTATGTGGGCAAGCGTGATGACGTCACGAAGGACCGATGTTTGACTGGTGTAACTATCTCGTAGCCTCCGGCGCGGTCGGAAACGTATTACTGAATCCATTTTGTTTTGTTTGTTCTAATTTCTTTATACTACAGAATGTTTTTTTTTTTAAACCTTTGCACGTTTCTTTCTATTTCTTGGAAAAAGCTTGGATCCCACACATGGAGATACAAATCACCATTAGGCATACGTTGTTTAGCTCCGCTAGCTAGGGCTGGCAGGCGAAATTTTTTTGGGGAAACACGGACGTACATAACATAAACTAACGCTTCCAAAGAGTTTCAGACGTCTCGCCCAAGTCGGCTTGTCAACGTATTGCGCTGCAATGGACTACAGAAGCTACAGTCAGGTACCTCGTGTCCAGACATGCCCTGTTTCACCTCTCAATGTTCCTCAGCGGACGCTACGAGCCATCGGAGCCAGTCCAGTGGCGTGTGAGTGTCTCGTGCCCTTCGGGACGCTCGGGACCGCCTTATCACCTGATACGTCCCCAGCCCTGGATTGGCTCTGATGGCACGTAATGTCCGCTGCGATTCACTATAGGCTGAAACGGCTTGTAGACGCTTTGTAGCAGCTCTGCATGGATGCCACCAAAACCTACCTTCAGGCTTTCTTTCCTCTTATTTTGGTTACTTCGCTCATCATTTCCCACAGCAAAACAGGTTTTTGTCTTTTGTTTTTTCGAATTTGAATGTGTTTTTTGCCCCAGCATTGGCGTTCGTGGAGGCTCACCAACGACCGATTCGGTGGCTTCGTATTTTGGTAAAACAATAGAAGGTCAGTAATGGCGACTGTAATCCGGTCCGTGTGCAGCGCGTCAGTACTTCTTCGGGCTGTTTGCGTTGTTGGAATAAATGAGCTCATCATTATTGAAGGCAGAGTCAGGACAAAAAGTACTTAAAAATATATTGGTTCACTTTAAAAAGAAAAGCTCAATGATGCAGAAGTGCATCAAAATGATTGAATATCTAAAACAAGAACAAAGCCAAAAGGCGATCTACTAAACTTCCTAATTTTGTCATATAATAATTGTAGTTAGCTCTGTTTTAGCACAATGCAGAACGCAGTTGAAGGTTAGAATACATACGAACACAGATGCGGGTGCTTAAAATCAAGTGCTCATGGCGAATTCACGTCGCTCAAGTGGTTTGAGCGACTTGGTTGCACAGGAACGAACGAATGACGAACATCATGACCTTCCACTATTTGCAAATCGGCTTCACTGGAAGGTAACGATGGCCGCGCTCTAACTTATGGTGAAATGAAACGTAGTATATAAAGGCTGCAGGTGTACGCAATTTCGCTTCAGTGTCGCAGAGTGCGTCGTGCGCGCTTGTGATCGCTTCCGACGGGAGGATAGGCTCGCACCATTTGTCGGCCAACCCTGGAACACTTACCACTTGCGCATATATTCCCGCATTTTTGTGTTGTTTTAGATGTTTAGACGTGGCTTGAGGTTAGCCTGCCTCGACGGGTGACTTGTCTCACGGCTGTGGAGAGA